TGAAGAGAAGGGGAGGGGAGGGGAGGGGAGGGGAGGGGACAAGTGTGCCTGCGGAGATCAGCTCGAGGCCTGCGGAGGGGGCTGGGTCAGAAGCCCCAGCGGCGCGTGCAGCGGACTCTGCCCGAGCTAAGGCTGAGCTCCAGCCGGTCCTTAGCGCTGTCCTTAGCGCTGGGGGGAAGGAGGTGCTCGAACAGGTTCCAACAGTGATACTATGCTGGCCAGTTCCCATTTCATTAAGGTTCCATTGGGTCTCTACCATGAAATGGGACCTGGGAGCAACTGAAAACATAGTTAAGAATCAAGCAGGGAATGGGGGCCGGGGAAGATGGTTCAGTGGAATAAGCGCGCTTCCGTAGCAAGCGCAAGGACCCGAGTTCAATCCCCGGTTCCGCAAAAAAAAGAAGAATCAAGCAGGCATGCGGGGCGTGCTGGTGCAGGCATGTAATTGCCTGTACTCCCAGCCATCTGGAGGCTGAGGAAGGAGGACCCTTGGAGTTTGAGACCAGCCTGGGCCACACAGTGAGCTCAAGGGCACCCTGCTGCATAGTGAGACCCTGTCTCAAAAAGACAAAAGCAAATTAATAAAAATATAAAAGAACCAAGCAAGCTATCTTCTGGAGCTTGCCTGCCCCTGCTAGTATCCAGCAGGGTATTTAGTGCACTTTCAGTTTGGATTTTCCAGTCACTGTGCTAGGCCTTGAAGACGGAAGTACAGAAGACAAAGCCCCAGCTATGCAGGAGTGAGACAGCCGAATCCCGAAGTCTGAGGCCAATCTAGAAAACTCATTGAGTCCTTCTCCCAAAGTTTTTAAAATAAAAGTAAAAAGGCCAGGAGATAAGGGCAGTGATAAAGTGCTTGCCTTTGACTGTGTTGGGCCCTTAGGTTCAACCTCCAAATCCACAAAACAAACCAAGAAGCAAATCTGATTCATGAAACTGAATTGTTACATACTGCCAAGGTATTGTCTCAGATGGAGAAGGTTACATTAATTAAGCAGAGAAAAGGTCCAAAGTTACGGAACCAGCCATTTCATAAACATACACTTAGGTTTTTCTGGAGGAGAATAAACAAGACAACCAGAAAGTGGGCTGTAATGGCCATGTCTGCAGGTCCGACGCCCTGGGAGGCAGAGGCAGGAGGCTGGCATGTTTAAGCTGGCCCCAGCAATGTAGTGAGAACCCCATCTCAAACATTTATTTATTTATTTATTTATTCAGAACTGGTGATTGAACTTGGGCCCTTGCGCTTGCCAGGGAAGCATTTATTCCACTGAGCCATCTCCTGGGCCCTTTATTTCTATTCTTGAAACACGGTCTCAAAAAAAAGAAAGAAAGAAACAGGGTCTCACTATGGAATTCAGGTTGGCCTTGAGCTTGCTTTGTAGCCCAGGCTGGTCTGAAACTCGCAAAGATCCTCCTGTCTCAGCCTTCCAAGTGTTGGGATTAAAGGCATGAGTCACTATGCCTGACAGTGTCTCAAAAATTTAAAAGGGGAGAAGCTGGAAATGTAGCTTAGTACAAAGGCCCTGGGTTCAATCCCCAACACCACACACAAAAAAACCCGCAAAAACAAGAAAGGTGTTCTGCTTTTTACGGAGACAGATTCCAAATCTGTAGGTGTCTGGACTGATGGGAATGCAGTCCACACTTCAGGATCTTGAGCAAGAGTTAGAAGAAGGTTAATAGGCATTTCATGGAAGGAACAAGTGTTTCACTTAGACAGCTGGGGCTTTATACAGTGCCTTGTCCAGTGCAGCTCTCCAAGTTGCCATGGGAAAGGCTAGTGAGAGGATGAAGAAATAAAGACAGAAACAATATACAGAACCCTGAGGTCTGGCGGAGCTCTCTCCATGTGTGGAAAAGGAACTGCTCAACCATTGCAGGGGTTATTTATGCATCTAGAAAGTTGATGTCCGGTGTGACCCCCTGCTTCCAGGACCCTGCCTAGATTCTAGGGGCTGGAACACGTGTTCCTCTGGGGCACTTCATGCTCTCAGGGACTTCAGAAGCTCCGACGATCCAGCCAATGTAATAATAGGCAGAAAAAGGTTTAAAAAGTGGGGTAGAAACAGAATTGTTTGAGATTTGGGGAGTGGGTCAGAGAAGTCAACTGCTAGAACCACCCCACCAACTATATAATGTGGAACACTGCTCTCCTGACTGCTGCATGTGGTTTTGGGGTCAAAGGGGACAAGTGTGTCTGCACGCTCAATGTATGTCACACAGCTACAAGATAATCTCTGTTACTCTCATCTGTTCATCACCACTTAAGCCAAGAATGTAGGAATGCTGATTCCCAGAATCAAAATTTGAGTGTTTTGTATTGTGGCTGGACTATGCTTGATTGCTTCAAAAGTTTTTGGTTCAAACAAAAGAACATCATATATGGATAGCCCATTTAATAGCACCTTGTGCAGATGCCTACACAAGCAGAGGTGAACGCTGGTTATCTCACCTCTGGTGTGGTGGGTGCCTTGTCATTTTTCCTCTTTCCATGTAAGAATCCATTATGGTGACTATATAGTTCTCAGCAATAAAAAAAAAACTTCCAAAATGTCTACTTGTAAGAAAGTACTGAAGTCAGGCGTGGTGGCACATGCCTGTAATCCCAGCATTTGGGAGGCTGAGGCAGGAGGACTGTCGCGTTTGGGTCCAGCCTGGCCTACAAAGTGAGCTCAAGAGCAGCCTGAATTGCATAGGCAGATGCTTTCTCAAAAAAAAGTACTGACTCTAGTTCAAATTTATACAGCAAATAGGTGTGGTTAAATTTCATGTTGAATCTCTCAGTAGTCAAACATTCAGTCTTTGCTTCTCTACACTCAGGAGCCAAACAGACAGCAAGGGAACAGTTAATTCTTTTTTATATTAGCGTCATCCTTGGTTCCATTACTGTCACTGTTGTATTAAAATTCTTTCTTAGGGTCAGCCAGATAGCTCAGCAGATTAAAGTGCCTGCTTAGGCAGACACAGGGACAGGAGTTCATTCTGTGTGCCAGCCCCACACCAGGGGCGTGCTGAGAATGCAACTGGGACTAGGCATGGTGGCGTGTGACTGCAATCCCAGCACTTGGGAGGCAGAAAACAGGAGGATCACTAGGAGTCTGATCTGTGTAGTGAGACCCTGTACTAAATACATAAAAAAGAAATAAAATTCTTTTTTTCTTTTTGAGCCAAGGTCGTCTGTATAATCTAGGCTAGCCTTGAACTCACAGCAATCCTCCTGCCTCAAATTCCTGAGTGCTGAGATTACAAGCATGCATTACCATGCCTGGCTTTAAAATTATTTTCTTTTTTTTTTTTTTTAATTCTTGTTGTTTTTTTTAAATATTTATTTATTTTTATTTATTACATTTATTTATTGTGTGTGTGTGGCCAGCTCAGCCCACCAGGGGGCGGGCTGGCTGGCATGTGGTGCTGGAGGATCGAACCGAGGTCCCTGGGCTTTGCCAAGCTTGTTTCAAGTAGGTGCTTTAGACCACTGAGCCATCTCTCCAGCCCTAAAATTATTTTCTTATATAGCTCGGTAAATATGTTTATATTCTTCTTGGAATAAGGCATTATAAATAACATACAAGTAGGACTGTATAGAAAAACGTAACTTTAATAAACTTAACTGGGATAGGAGGGCCCTGGGACAAGGGTAGTCACCACATGATGGTCTGATTCTCCTCTGGCAACAAAACCACTTCAAGTAGAAAGCAAGGCTTTGACAGGGCATGTAAGAACCACCATCCAGGGAAGAGCAGAGAGATACTGGGTCATCCAGAAAAGATCAAGAGTCTTCCTTTTCCTGAAACCTAGAGAGAAAGAAACCACTGGTTATACTCAACCAAAGGGAGAGTTTCTAGTACTGTAGGGTGAAGAATCAAGTAAAGAAGAACTTGTGAGATCATTGAGGAATAGCTCCTCTCAGTCATATTCCACCTCTGATTTCAAATCTAATTATCATCTTGAAGTATGCAAAGATTTCTTAGAACATAAAGAGCAACATCTATTTTTTGTTTGTCTTGAGATAGGGTCTTGATGTCAGGTCCAGGCTGGGCTTGAACTGGCAGTGATCCCCCTACCTCAGCCTCCCCAAGTACTGGGATTTGAAGCACAGGTCACCATACCCAGCGGAAATTTTTTTTTTTTTTTTTTTTTTTGCGGAACTGGGAAATGAACTCAAGCGCTTGCACTTGCCAGTGAAGCACTTATTCTACTGAGCCATCTCCCCAGTGGAAAAATATTCTCGAAAAATGTATCTCAATATATTTTTAATTTATTGGCAGAATGGCAAAAAAGGCAGTCTTCATGTTGGTTAAAAAACAGTGTAAACTCAGATATCATGACAGCTAAGTTAAAAATGAACCATCTATCTTCACAGGGCTGTATTTTGACTGCCACAGGCAACATGAAGCATAGACAAAACCTGCAGTGGTTGATGGGAGACCTGCTGCATCAGTGTGGGACCCCTCACCCAAATGCTACCCTTCTTGTATAAAAGTGAACAAAAAATCCAGCTGTATAGCAGAGGAATTTGACTATCCTAATAGGAAGAGGAGAAAAAAATAGCTTCTGAGAACTTCTTTCTTTTTTTTTTTTTTTTTGGCAGAACCGGGGATTGAACTCAGGCCCTTGCGTTTGCTAGGCAAGTGCTTATTCTACTGAGCCATCTCCCTGGCCCCCTTTTTTGTCTTTTTGAGACAGGGTCTTGAACTCACTGTATAGCCCAGTCTGGCCTCAAACTCAGAGGAATCATCCTGTAATCCTTTTTTTGGGGCCGGGGAGATGGCTCCGTAGAATAAGCGCTTCCCTGGCAAGCACAAGGGCCTGAGTTCAATCCTTGGTTCTGCCGCCAAAAAAAAAAAAAAAAATTCCTTTCCCTCCAGTGGAGGGATTATAGGTGTGTGCCACTACGCCCAGCTTCCACAGAATTTCTAAGCATAAATTAGAGCTTCTCTGCTAAAAAATAAATAAAAAGAAAGAAAAGAAAAAAAGACAAAACTCATTTAAAGTGATTTCATCTTATTAATGCTTGAGATTATAAAACAAAGCTAGGTGTGGTGGTGTACACCTATAATTCCAGTACTCAGGAAGCTGAGGAAGGAGGATCACTGCAAGTTCCAGACCAGCCTGGGCTACAAAGTGAGCTCTAGGTCAGCCTGAACTGCATAGTGAGACCCTCTCTCAAAAATAAACAAAACAGGGGCCGGGGAGATGGCTCAGTAGGATAAGCGCTTGACTGGCAAACGCAAGGATCTAAGTTCAATCCCTGGTTCTGCAAAAAAAAAAAA